ATTACGAATACTTCTATTAATTTTCTATGTGCAATTCGTAATTGATAGCATGATTGATTCACATCACCATGCTTGGTTCTTTAAGGGCTGACTAATTCCAAAGCCTGGAAGACAATGATAAGTTGGAGGTTTCAGCCATTAACTAGAAGATAGCCTTTTATTTATAAATTAATAAATTGATGTAAGCATTCTGATTAAATTATTAATAATTGAGATATGCCTTTTTTTCCTTCTGCATTTTTTTGTCTTTTTTTTTAATTTGATTTTGTTGAATTTAATCTTATAATTATTATTTTTTATATGAAATTCAAGTTGTATTAATCAGTTTTTGTTTCTATCATAAAGTAGAAATGTAATTTATTATTAATAGCATGCCAGATTTGATTTTGTAAATCCCAGTATGTACTTATTACTATCTTTTTTTATTCATTAGAGGCCCATATTGGTTTTGACCAGTCAATAATATCAAGCTGATGTCCTGTAAATATAAAATCAGGCGGTGAATGTGGCTACAAAAGGCATGAATGATAATTTGATTGCTCTATAAATATGCAAGTCAATGCATAGCTTCCAGATTTTTAGCTCCATGTCTTGCATTGAGTAGTTCCTAGTTGTTTATATGTTTCATTAAGAAAGATTTGTGCAAATCTAATTAATATTCATAGGAGTTCACTTTGTTTCATTGTCAAATGTCAATAAATCAGGTTCCATAAGGCTGCCAAACTCTATTTTTGTTGGTTTTAATGGTGAATCCCTGCAGGTGTTATAATATTGAATTAATTAATACTAAAGTTTGATTCCTGTAAACAACCATGCATGTTCAATCTCTTTGCTCGTTTGATGTACTCTCTAACTCTTTCTGTGTCTTATTAAAACTCTCTACCTTCTTCCTTACTATTGATAACATTAATCTTTTGTCTATTAATTGCTAGCTTGACCCTTCAAAATATTACTCTAGAAAATGGCAAAGAGGGCGCTATCCAACCTGGTTTCCCGGGGCATTGCTCATTCCTTTGAGTCAAGGGTAAGAATCTCCCAATCAGTGTTTTTGTTCTGCTTTCTCTTGTTTTTGTTTTTTTTACAAAGAAATTTTGTAATAGAGACAGTTCTTTGTCTTTTTAAATGCAATCTGTGCTGTATAAATCCATTGTTCTAGTTCTTCTTGGACTGTACTCCGGAGGAAAAAGAGATATATGTTGGTTGTTAGTTTCTTATTACATTTAAATAAGTTCATACTTAATACTACATAACAAGTTTTTGGATTTTTAGCATTATTTGAGGATAAATGCTATTCTTAAAATGCCCTTTACTTTGGGTCCTAGGTTTCTTCTTTTTGCTTTGTGTCTGTATCTTTTTTTTTTTTTTTTTTTTTTTTTTTTTTTTTTTTTTTTTTAATTTCTTAAATTGGATGTTTGAACATCTTGCCTTGCTTGCAAGTAGTCTACAATTTTCATTTTTAGCTGTATTTGTTAATCCACCAGTATTACAGTGCTTCATGCATGTCTTAACAGAAACTACATATATTGGCATCCTGGATTTTATTTTAAACTGATGCATCTTTCAAAAGCCTATAATTACAACAACAAGCCTATCATGGACCTATTTTTTATCAAGGGAAGTTGAGTAATTGATTCATGTTATAGGCGAGCTGTTAATTCTCATGTAATTTTCTTGTTTCTCCATTTGCCTGCTACGTCGAAGAAGCTACATTAATATTCAAATCTGTGGGCTCCGAAAATTCGGCCTCGGCCTCCCCGCCGCGCACTGACTGTTTTATGCTTTTATCTTTTGGCGAGGGAGTTTTAACAGACTAAGTTCCGGGGTAAATTTTGAAAGGCAGATGGGTTTGTATATAAGACACTACCTAGAGATTTCACTCTCATTTTGCGAGGACTTTATGATCTGAGTTCTGGTTTCCTATAGGCGCAAGCCCCTATAGTTAATTACCCTTCTCGATCACGAGAGAGGACTTTCGATTAAGGCTAGTCATCAATCAGATACGTAGAGATATGTGTTATCTGGCATACAATAGCAGCATGAGTTTGGAATGGTTGGAGAATTTGGGAATTTGGAGGATTGGAAGATTGATAAAACAGAAATTGCACCATCTTGCACTCAAAGCGGATGGTGGGGGAATGGATGCCCGATCAAGATCCCATGATTTCGTCGTCCCGGGTCATCGTGGTCCTTGGTCTACTTAGTCAGAGAAGGTAGTTGACTCAACCTGACAGAAGGATCCTTGTCGGTAGCCATGGGTTGCTTCGTCCAAGGGGACCTTGTAGACCTGGAGTGAGTGTTTGTTTAAGGGGACAAATTTGAATCCACCTTAGCTAACAGAGGGCTTTGTGCCCTATCGATCATATCTTATTGATTCATATCTCAAGGATTTGATGCCACTAAGGAACGTATTGGATCTGACCATAACCGGTATTTCGTGGTGCCATTTGGCTGTAAAACCACTCGGTTCAGAGGGCCTCAGGTCGTCATAACCGTTTATCATGCGGTGCCATTTGGCAGCAAAACCGCCGGTTAGAGGACACCTACCACGTCCTTACTAGCAGGAGATTGGTTTGAGAATGGATCTTAGTGATATTTTCGACTAGGCATTAGCTCTTTGTGAGCTGAAGTTATATTTGAATTTGTCTACATTGACAAATTGTTGTGGAGGGTGGATGGGTTTTTGTGCTTTAAGTGATTGATGGTTTGATTTCAGTTTTAAATACCTTGGAATTTAGGATTTGTTGGATTTTGGACTTTGTGGAGTTTGGATTTTGTGTGTACTTTTGAGAGACATTTGAAAAATTCCCAAAATTAACCCCTTCGGTTGAGATTTACATTTAACACGGCCATCATCGGGGGTGTGGGGGTCATTCATTGACTAAACCCTGTCAACTCTATCAACTTGCCGATAAGGGATCGGGTTTCTCGTAGGCTTTGTGCCTTTGTTTATGAATTTTCTTTGTTGAAGGCCTTGAAGGCCTAATACGAATGCATAAAATAAATATTCCGGTCGATTTCGTAACCGCATATTTATCCGATGGTTCGAACCCTGTTTACTCCTATTTACTTGCTTAGGAGGATCGGGTTTCGTAGGCTTTATGCTTTTGTTTATGAATTGTTTTGATTATATGCATTGAAGGCTTAATATGAATGTAGAAAAATAAATATACCGGTCCCCACAACCGTGTATTTGTTTGAAGGTTCGAACCTTGTCGACTCCTATAGATCCGTATAGAGAAGGATCAGGTTCGAACCCGAATTCACTTGTTGACCCGCGCAGCATCCCTAAGCGTCACGTGTGTACCAATAACATGCTCGTCGGGGCCCATACGAGTGATGATTGTATTGTATACAATTTATGGTGTACGTGCAGGGGTTCTTTGAAATAGTTGTAGTTGTACAGGAAACTGTCATTTAAGTGTACACCATTTTATTTGAGAGCTTATACACGCCTTCTGTCCGCTAGTACGAGTGTTGCGGATCCGGTGGCGGTGAGTTGTAGATTATAGACGCCTTCTGTCTGCTTGCATAAGTGTTGCAGATCCGGTGGTGTTGAGGTCTTAATGTTGACTTCCCCTTTCTCATTCACTGGGGAAGGTTCTTCTGGACTTTGAAATCAGTTACTGCTGCCTTGAAAGAGACTCTTTTCAGGATCATCAGTGTAGTGAACATGTTGTTTTTGATATTTGTGGATGCAAGCATTGTCTTCTTCTTAAGTGCAGGATCAAAAAGAAATTTTGGAACACCAGGAAGTTTAATTCTAATTTGTTCAAACATCCCTTTCCTTCTTCCAGGGGGGTGTCCTCTTTGGGTTGCCCTTGAACCCGACGTACTTGAAGATCTTGATCATCACTATTGTAGGTGATATCCATACTTGTGTCCACAGTGATTCATTGTACTTACAATACACTGTTGTTATCCACAAGTATCCATTTGCAGGGGACCTTTGCATCTACTACGACCTCCTGGAAATGTTTGTAGAAGAGCCGTTGTCACCTTCACCATATCCACCTTTTCACCAATCTCAGGTGGTTCGGTGATTGTATTTTCTTGTAAGGGCGGTCCTTTGATTGCTGGTCTCTAGTATTGCCATCTCAATCAACAGGCATTTGTTGTTGGTGTTGGAGATTCCAATAGTGCATGTAGGAGGGACACCCATGCGTTTCATTCTTGCAGGTACGATGCACCCGATCTCGTGGAGACTGTTATAAGAGCCCACTACATTCTTTATTTGCATGCATTGAGGTCTTGTAGTTTGAGTTTCCTCGTGTGTGATCCAAGTTTTGTTCTTTGCACGTGTCTGAGTCCAAGCTCAGTGTCATTCAAACTTGAGTTCATTAAGTTTACAAGTCCCCACTTAATGTCGTATAACCCGAGTTCAAGTACGAGCTCAGAGTACATGTTCAAGTTGATTGTTCATGATTTATGAAATCCTTGCAAGTTCAAGTGCATATTCAATTTGATTTAGATTTGGTCCCATTTTGATTTTATTTTATTTGAATTTGAACTTTAGAAATCATTTAGGTTTTGCTCAGGTCCCCTGCTCGTGTTCAATCAAGTTCACTGCTCTTTCTCATTTGAGTCCATCTTTTGTTCTTTTGAGTTCAAAACAGGTCCGAGTAAAGTAATATTTCACCCGAAATTTCGGCAGCCTCCCGGCGTCTCCCCAGTTTAGGGGAAAACTACGGAAAACTGGGCCTTTCCCACCACGCGCAATGAAGGCGTGCATGGTAGGTGCCCTCTTGCGAGGACACCGCGGCCGTGTAAAGTCTTTGTCCCCACCACGCGCAACAAAGGCGTGCATGGGTTTTCGGTACCTATTAAAAGAAAAGAGCAGTTGTTTCTCCGCAGGTACAGAGCCGCGTACGGGAACTTAAGAATTGTCCTGGTCATGCTAAGAAAAGCGTGCACCAGGCTTACCTGGCCTCGTCATGTGCATCGCACCGGAGTCCCTCCTACCACACTCAATAAAAGCGTGCATAGGTGGTTGACCGGCTCGTCGCACACACCGAGGACAGGACTTTGGGGGTCGAGGGGTTGCTCGCTTACCTCGTCATAGGTGTCGCACCGGGTTCCCTCCTACCACGCTCAATAAAGGCGTGCATAGGTGGTTCGCCGGCCCGAGACAAGTCGAGGCAGGAGGACGATGGGTTGTTCGTTTACCTCGTCGTAGGTGTCGCACCGGGTTCCCTCCTACCACGCTCAACAAAAGCATGCATAGGTGATTTGTTGCCCGACACGCCAGTCGAGATAAGAGAGGGAGAGATTTTCTTTTATTTAATTAATTATAATTAACATTAATTAGCCGTAATTAATTATAATTATAATCATACTTAATTAATTACATTTATTTGCGATTAAATTATAATTAATTATATTAATAAATTATAATTATTATCATTAAGTAACATAATTAATTATAATTAATTACTATTAATTAGTTTAAAATAATTATAACTAATTAATAATAATTAATAACAGTTTAAAAGGAATAAATATATAATTAACTAATTTAATCATAATTAATATTAATCATAACTAATTAATATTGACTATAATCAAATCAAATAAAACCTTAATCCCCTCCCCTTAACTCTCTACCTCTCTGGTTTGGCGGGATCACAGGATTTGGCCGTGGAAGCGCATGGAAGGGATTAAGCTACCTTCACTAGTGGCGAGCTCCCGTCGTGTTTCCGATCAAAATGTATAACTTCCGATCCGACCGGATGGGAAGTCGTGGAAGGAGCAAACTCGAATAGCACGGAGGGGCCGAAAAGGCGAGCTCTCCTTTCCTCCTTCCGATCAAAATGTGTAACTTCCGTTCCAACAGGAAGGGACGTCGTCGGAGACGGAGCGAGGTCGGGCAGGCCTGGAGGAGCCGGAGAAACCCACGGTCGGCGAGTTCCTGGTCTCGGCTCCGATCAGAATGTCGGGCTCCCGCTCCGACAGGAAGGGAATGTCGATGAGGGAGTGAAGTCGGAAGTCCACGAAGGAACGAAGTCAGAAGTCCACGAAGAAGCCGGAGAAGCAGCGAGAGAGAGTGAGAGAGGGCGAGGAATCAAGCGTGAGGAAGAGAAGAGGCCGAAGGCCTCGTTGCCTTGAGCCTTTTAACGACTCAAAATGAGTCGTGCGGCGATCGTGGGGAGAAATGACGCGAGACATGGCCTCGACGTGCGAACGGCGTGGCTACGGCATGCGACGTGCGGGATGAGGGCAGAGCAGGTACGTTGATTTTGATTTTCTCTTTTTTTTTTTTTTTTGTCAACAGACTCGAACACCCCCCGGATATAGCGGGTCAACAAAATTTTAAATATTCCCTTCTCGTTCATTAGTTGTAAATATCAATTAACTAAATAGGTTTGATCGATTATATGTAATTATGAGGCTATAAATTTGAATATAACTTCTTATTTTTAAAAGTTAGATGGTTTATTCGATGATAAGAGTATATTATGGTGATCTAATTTAACTTTTTAAAAATATCATCTAAACCATTATTTTATATGGAACCTAGAGACTTAAAATTAAAACCAAGTTGAGTTTGAAGAATTGATAATGTTAACATTCATGCGTGATAAAACTATGGAAGGCATTTATAATTATATTTTTGAGATGGTTGGAGAATTATCTATTGAATATAATACAATGAAAAGTAGCTTTTAGGTGATTGAGGCATTTACTTTGCAGGGTTGAATATACTCTAAATTAGATGGCAAGTTGAACTAATTTTCAAAGATTTAGAAAGAAGAATAGCTTGCCCAAAGACAACTAGGTGATATGTTCGGTGGTATTGTCCATTACCTTCAAAGAGGAGGTTTGGAATTCAATTCCTTTAGAAGAAAAAAAAAAATCATGACACCTGATGTAGCAATTAAAAGAATGGATGGAGGAGAAGGATTTATAAGTCTATTCAAAATAGTTCAGATAATGCTAATGATGATGATAAAATGTTTTAATAGGTGATATCAATGCAACACTTTGGGCAAAGTTTAAAGTATTCAACAAAGATAAGTGGTGATTCAGATACACATGAAGATTTTCGTTCGACCAATAAACTGGAAGGCTCTGGAATCTCTGTGCAGGATGTTGTTCAACAGGTGATTGAATCTTAAGCAATTTTAAGTATTCATGTTTAGGCTTGATCCTTTTAACTCTCCTACTTTCTGCCAATGGCTATTGAATGGGTGTTTTTAATAGGATGTTAAGATAAATCCAGTGATGATTTATATGAAGGGTGTTCCTGATGCTCCTCGCTGTGGATTCAGTGCATTGGCTATCAAAGTTCTGCAGCAATACAGTAAACCTGCATTGAACCCATATATGAGCAGCAATTAATTTCTAGCTCAGTTGCATATGTTTGGGAGTTATATTCTGTCTTTTTGCATGTTATTGCAGGAGTTCCCATAAGTTCTAGAAATATTCTGGAAGATCCTGTTCTTAAAGAGGGTGTAAAAGCTTTTAGGTTAGTAATTATCAATCTACATTAATTTGAACATGTTAAATTCATCAATCCGAACTAATGTTATCAATTCAAAGTTTGAGAGGTGATATAGACTATTTCTTTGTGCAATTTACCGTTGATCAGCTTATTGTCACTCGGCCCGCTTTGTGTTGACCATTTTCTGTAGTTGCTCCTCTAGCCTCTCTGGATAAATGTAACTTTGTTTTGTTGACAGAAAATTGAACAATCCTTCACTTATCTAACTAACCTCCATGATAAAGAGTTTTTCATATGAAAATGGTGAAGATACATATCTCTGTTTGTGTGACATGAAAAGTATATTGGTGATTGACTAACAGATATGGTTTAGATGTTTAAAGACCCATTAACAAACTATCCTTATATCTGTCTGTCTACATTCCTCAAAATTATGGATTAAATTGATTGATGAAAAAAAAACATGTCAAGTTACTGTAAGCTTATTGAAGTTCTTCTAAAACTTAATTATGACTTCCTTTTCATCCTTGATCACGTTTGTAATAGTTTTTTTTTTCAGATTGTCACTGCTATTGATGGGTTATAGGATAAACTCGTAAGCATGGCATTTTACGTTAGATACATCATACATCTAAGAGAAATGTACAGATGCATGTGGGTCGTAATGCGTACACATAAGTTTATCTAAAAGTTCTTAGCATAGATATTATTTTAGCATTTCACTTCATGAAAGGCAAAAGGTAGTTCTTATAGAACCTTAAAGAGGAAGGGTTATAAAGAAGGTTGCCAAGCCAATTACCAATCCCTCATTAAGTTATCCTCAAATATACAAAGGTGTAGCCTTAAGGTGAAGATAGTGAGAGGCTTCTCAAAAAAGCTACTTTAAGATAAGATTTGCACTCCGGAAGATTTGGGTCTTATAGAAAATGCCATAAGGTGAACTCTGGGTTCTGACGTTTGGGTATTACTTCATTAAAAGATCCATTGTTGGAAGTTCCACATAGCAAGATTAGAGGTTTAAAGCAATGTTTTAAAAAGGCGAAATCGGGAATCGAGGCGTTTTGTCTAAGTGAGGCGAGGCGTAAGCCTCGAGGCGTATCGAGGCTTAAGCCTCAAAATGGTAAAAAAAGCTAATTTAAAATTATAAATAATGATGAAAAATGACAAAATATTAAGTTAATTATGAACTTGAAAGAATAGTGTTGATGTTTATATCTGAAAAGAAAAATAAATATGTAATTTATATTAATTAGGCTAATTATATTAATATTTAATTAATAATTATATTACTAATTAGTCAATTAAGTTAAATTATATAATTAATTTATGTACTAATTATACTATTAATTATTTAATTAATTTGCTTAATTTTTAATATTTGAAATTATATTAACTAAGTTAATCAATAATAACTTAGCCGCGTTTAGGGTTTTGATAGGAAATACTTGATTTCAAGTATTTCCTAGTCAAATCTTAATGAAATCCGCTGTTTACAGTGGAAAAACAGCAAAATAGTGGACAAAACAAAGAAAATCTGAGAGAATAGTGGAGAAAATCACCCAAATACTTGTATTTTACTAGTAGATGAAGGAAAAAACAGCAAAGATACAAAGATCCTCTATTCGAGAGGAGGATCACACTCTCAATCTCTAGAAATCAGATCTACAGTCCTCGCACCCAAAAGAACAACAAGAGAATTTTCTTAATAATCAAAAGCATCCCACGCCCTAATCTCCCTCCCATACTTAAAGAAAACAATTAATTAAAATACATAAAAAGACCAAACAGCCCCTGCCGCCACCTCTATTTGAATTTGAAAATGTTTTTGAGCAGTGCTCGCCCAATGGGCGGGATTAGTAGAGGGAGGTGGAAGGTTTCCGCCTCTTTTAGACCCGCAGAGCCGGCCCCTTGGCTGGCTGGGCCGGTTCACTCTGAACCGGCCTAACAATACTGCCCTCCCAAAGAACCACCTTGTCTTCAAGGGGGAAATCAGGAAACTGTCTTTTCATCCGCTCGTATGGCTCCTGCATGGCTTCGTAGTTAGGGAGGTTCTTCCATTTGATCAGGACTTCTGTATCTTCATCCGCTTTCTGGAGAACCTCCATAAGCTCCAATGGTTCTAATATCATCTCCATCTCATCAGTTTGTGTCCCTGGTAACTCCAAACTAGTAGCATAATCTCTGATGGCTCTCCTCAGCTGAGATACATGGAAAACGGGATGGATCATCGCCGTAGGTGGTAGCTTCAAACGATATGCCACGGCTCCAATCTTCTCTAATACTTCATAAGGACCAAAGTATCGTGGAGCCAGTTTCTCATTCCTCCTGTTGGCGACCGTTTTCTGTCGATATGGTCGAAGGTTCAAAAACACCCTCTCGCCCACTTCAAACTGGATGTCCCTCCGATGTCCATCAGTCTGTTTCTTCATAATCTGTTGAGTCCTCAACATATGTCTTTTCAACTCTATCCCTCTCCTCCAAATGCTCATATACTGAAGAAATTGGAGTACTGCTACTCCCAAAATGCACCAAGTGGGGTGGATTCCTTCCATACAACACCTTGAACGGGGTAATTTGAGAAGCAGAATGAAAAGAGGTGTTGTACCAATACTCGGCCCATGATAGCCATTTAGCCCATAGCTTAGATGTCTCTGACGCAAAGCATCTCAGATAAGTCTCCAAGCTCAGGTTGAGTACTTCTGTTTGGCCATCCATCTGTGGGTGGTAAGCGGTACTCCTTTTTAGCACTGTCCCCTGCAATCTGAACAACTCTCTCCAGAAATGGCTGAGGAATACTTTATTCCTGTCGGAGACTATCGCTTATGGTACCCCGTGTAATCTGACTATCTTCCAGATGAATGCTGACACTACTGTCACCGTAGTGTAAAGATGGCGTAGAGGAATGAAATGAGCATATTTGCTCAATCTATCCACTACCACCAATATCACAGTGAATCCCTCAGAACGGTGAAGCCCATCAATGAAGTCCATAGATACCTCGTCCCAGACTCGACCTGGTAAAGCCAAGGGTTGTAGTAACCCCTCGGGTGACATAGCTGGGCACTTATTCCTTTGGCAGATGTCGCATCTGGATACCATCTCTTCCACATCCTTGTGCATTCCTCTCCAGTACAGTTCTGCCGCCAGTTTCCTGTAGGTCCTTAACACTCCTGAATGGCCTCCCACTGTAGTTCCATGGAACTCCTAGAGCAACTGTGGAATGTGAATTGATGTTTTGGGTAACACAAATCTCCCGTGGTACAACAATCTCTCCCCCTCCAATGAGTACCCTGGATGGTTTGCCTCTCCCTTTAGTAAGTCAGTTTTGATCCTGCCTAGTTCTTCATCCTTAGCACTCTCCTCCCTGATGGCCTCCTAATCTAGCATCATTGGGACTGATACAGCCACTGTCTGCAGCTCCCCCATGCATCTTGACAGGGCATCTGCCGCTTTGTTCTCCACCCCTGGCCTGCATTGAATCTCAAAATCATACCCCAGCAGTTTAGATAGCCACCTCTGATGCTCTTCTGTTACCATTCTTTGTTCCAGCAAGTATTTCACGCTCCGTTGGTTGGTCCTGACTATGAAATATCTTTTGAGTAAGCAGGGGCGCCACTTTTGGATGGCTAACACAATTGCCATCAATTCCCTCTCATAGACCGATTTCAGCCGGGTTCTTGCTGTTAGCACCTGATTGAAGTAAGCAATGGGCCTATGATTCTGCATCAACACTGCTCCTAAACCATACCCCGATGCATCTGTCTCTACTACGAAGGCCTGAGTAAAATCCGGCAAAGCTAAGACCGGTACTGTGGTCATGGCTTTCTTTAACTTCTCAAATGTTGCCGTGGCGGCCTCCCCATATAGAAATCCGTCTTTCTTCAACTGCTCAGTGAGTGGCCATGCTATAGTACTGTATCTCTTCACGAACCTTCTGTAGTATCCTGCCAGCCCTAGGAATCCCCTTAATTCTTTCAAATTTTTAGGCAATGGCCATGTTAACATGGCTTTAATCTTGGACTGATTTGCGGCTACCCCTCTTTAGATACCACGTGCCCCAAGTACTCCACACTGGCTTGTGCGAAGCAGCACTTCTTCAGGTTAGCCCTCAACTATTGCTCATGGAGGATCTCTAAAACTTGCTTCAAATGCCCCTAATGCACCTCCTCTGTCCGGATATACACTAGGATGTCATCAAAGAACACCAAGACAAATCGCCTGAGGTACGGTTTGAGGACCGTATTCATGAGTACGTGGAACGTGGCTGAGGCATTGGTGAGGCCAAAGGGCATCACTAGGAACTCATAGTGTCTCTCATGAGTTTGAAAGGCGGTCTTGGATACATCCTCCTTCATTCGAATATGATGATATCCTGATTTTAAGTCAATCTTACTGAAGATTACTGTTCCACTCAATTCATCTAACAGCTTTTCAATAACTGGTATAGGAAACTTATCAGGTACAATTTCCTTGTTGAGTGCACGGTAGTCTACACAGAACCGCCAGCTGCCATCATTCTTCTTCACCAATAGAACAGGACTAGAGAACGGGCTAGTGCTTGGCCTGATGATCCCTGCTTCCAGCATTTCTCTGATCAGCTTTTCTATTTCGTCTTTCTGAAACTGAGGGCAACGGTAAGGTCGTACGCTGACAGGCGACACTCCCTCCCTCAATATGATGGCATGCTCATGCTCCCTGGGTGGTGGCAATCCTAGAGGTGGTTGAAAAACCTCATAGAATTCATGGATCAAAGGCTGTACAGAGAGGGGTATGTCTCCCTCTTCCTCCAAACTCACTCCCTCTAATCTGTGTAATTCCACCAAATAGCCTTCCCCCTCCTCCTGAATGGTCTTGATTAGGAATTTGAGAGAAACCCCTGCCTTGGTCAGTCCCGCATCACCTTGAATCACCCTCTTCCTTCCTCTCTTCACCAACTCCATCCTCAGAGTACCCCAATTGATTTTGGTTTCCCCCAAGGTCTGCAACCACTTCATCCCTAGAATGACATCCGTACTCCCCAATTCTAGGGGAAGGAAGTCTTCCTTCACTTGGATACCTTGGATCTTTAGCACCACCCCTCTACAGACTCTTCTTCCCATTTCTACCTTCCCCGTGCCCATCATCACCCCATAGCCTCCTGTATCTACTAACTCCTTCCCCAGCAGCTCCACAATCTAGGTGAAAATGAAATTGTGGGTTGCCCCAATATCGAACAACTCCACAACTTCACGGCCAGCTATCTCTCCTTTCACCTTCATAGTGTGACTCGGAGTGAATCCCACTACGGAGTTAAGAGAGACTTCAGCCACATCTAGATGCAGTGAATCCCTCCCTATTCGTCTTCCTCGTCTTCACAAACGAGGAGAACTTGAAGAGTTCGATCCTTGCACTTATGCCGTGGCATGTATTTTTCGTCACATCAGAAACACAGCCCTTTTGTTCTCTTCTATTGCATTTCCTTCTCAGTAAGCTTCTTGAACTGGCCCCCATTTCCTCCTCCTGTTGCTTTTTTCCTTCGAAACTACTTTCATCCCTCCTGTGGACGCTCCCTTGGAGGCTAGGTGGGTAGTCGTCCACCTGTAACTGCCTCCTGAGCTGC